GGGAGATGGAGAGACAGCTCTTCCATCCTATGATTATTCCCTACATCCTTGCCTCTGCCAGGGCCGGGCAGTGCTGAAGTCAGGGCTGAGAGCTCACTCTGAATATTCGACTTGGGTGCCAGGCCCAAGTGTTTGAGTCACCATCTGTTGCTTTCCTAGAAGCATTAGCAAAAAGCTGGAGAGGAAGGGAGCACCTGGGTCTCCACATGGCATTCTGATGGTGGATATAGGCATCCCAAGTGGCAGCTCCGGCCTCTGTGCCCTGCCTGTCCCAGACCATGTCTCTGTTTGCCTTCCCAGGGACCGGACTCTTCCTTGGGGTGAAGATGGCGACTTCCTGTGCCCCTGGGTGTGATCAGTCAGCTTTCCAGCGCTGCAGGACTCTGCAGGTAGGGATGTGGTACTGCTCTTTTTGTCCCACTTTGGCTTGGAATACGGTGTTGCTCACAAGTTTACATGTGGGAGGCTTATTCTCCAGTGTGGCACTGTTCAGAGGTGGCAGCACCTGTCAGAACCTTTATTAGCCTATGCAAGGGAACTAGGCCACAACGGCACTGCTCTTGGAAGGAGTTAATTTTGTTCTTGTGGGACGAATCTGTTGTTGTGAACGTTGTTATGAAAGGGCAAGATTGGCTCTTCTTCCTCTCTAGCTTCCAGTTTCTTTCTGAGATCCTTCCCTCTTGGCATGTCCTCCCATCATGATGCTATCTACCACACCATGGCAGCCAGCTGGCCCTACCAGAGACCAAACTGATGGGACCTAGCTGGACTAGGGCTTATTGCCTCCAAAATTGTGAGCTAAATAAAGCCTTTGCTATAGAAGATGGCAGCCTCAGGTCAGAAAGCAGGTGCACGTGGGTCCATTTCCTCTGTTTCCACCTGCCGAGATGCAGAGACATGCCAGGTGGACACCTACAGTTTCAGAAACAGACTCTCAGAATGTCAGGGTGGCATCAGTATTGTTACTGTTTTCTTGCACGTGTCTGTGAACTTGTCACTGGCAGCAGAGATATGTAGTGCTCAGATATCTAGGGAAAGGCCATGCCAGAAATACAACAAAGATGTGAAACAAGTGATCTTTTCTCAGTGCTTATGGAACTGTATCATAAAATGGTAATAATAATTAAAAAAAGAGAGAAATAACCCTAGATTTATCACTTCTACTCTCAAAGTAGAGGTTAAATATTAAACAAACAAAATGAAGTAATCTTTTTTACTCTGTCCTTTCCCGGTCTTGCTATAGATCATCCATTATGTCAGTCACTTCACTGGCTTTTAAAATATATTTACTCTTTAATGCAACTCTCAGAGCTAGATGTCACTTCTGATTTCATGAGAAGAGCAGTTTAGAAAGGTTAAGTCCGTTTTCTTCAGCTGGCATCTAAAAGCTGGTTCTTTCAACCACTCCCTGTTGCCTTTGCAACTGTTTAAACCAATTACAAAGACCAGTTGAAATGAAAACAAGTGAAAAGTTAAAAACATGACACAAAGTGCTTGCACCAGGCAGTCCCATGCTCTGTTGAAGGGAGACAGGGAGAAAGCAGATTGGGGCAGTAGGGAGGGTGTCCCATGATCATTATGCCTTATGTGCACCTGGGGCAAAAAGGCATTTGGCTACCATGGGATTTCCCTTTGGGTGGAAGTCAGCAGCTGGAAGCTGCAGAGACAGGGAAAATTTACCTCCACATCTGGGTGCCAGCTGAACTCATAAGCTGATGAAGGGAGCAGCTCTCATTCTCACGCTCACCCCAGTGGCAATTGTCTATCTAGGGGATTTCCTGGGTATAAGAACTCCAAGCGTCTAAGCTAGCATAAGGGCTGGAAACATGGTTGTCATCGTGACACTGGTGGTGGGGCATTTTTCACAGTTGCCTATGTTACAATTTCCTGGTGTCTGAGGGCCAAAGAGCTCAGGTGCAGGCGTCCCCGCCATGTTCGGGGCACACTCGGGGGACATCTTTCCAGCCTCATGTCTCTGCACCTTTGAGCTCACACTGTGACATTTCAGGTGAACAGTGGCAAAGCCCCACACATAGCATGTGAAATTGAAAAACCATCCGTTAAACGGCGAACCATGTTCAATGTCAGGGCTCTTGACACCTGGTGTTTGTGCTTTCCCTGGGTTCATGGGAGGATAAAAGAAAACTGCAGATCAAAGCAAACATTTAATCAAATGCTTCTCCAATGTAGCATCATCACATTGTAATAATTTATTAACTTGAACTCTCATCATCAGAGAGCTCAGACAGTTGGGGATGTTTCTGATACATATCAGCTTAAATGGTGCTGTGAAAAACTGGAGATAGCCTCCCTCTAATATTGTCGGTGGGGAATTTCTGAAATATGTAACAGTGGAAGAGGTGGTGGTGGGATTTAATGAGACATTCAAAAGAAAGGTGGTGTTGTTAGGAATTAAAATGAAAAGGAACCATAGTTCAAAAAAATTATATCTATATCCATATCTATATCTACATAGATATAGATAGATATACACTAATATTGAAGTTCGCCTCTTAAGTAATAGGGTAGAAATTAGCTCTTACCCTATAACTCCATTGGTCATTTATAGTACTTACATGGAATGTAACATGAAGTTACATGAAGATAGAGGGCCTTGTTACCACAGAAAATTCATGCCCGTTTGATTATTGCCCTTCTTTGTACATCATCTTCTAGATCTTTTTTCTTTTTTAAGATTTTTTTTTTTAATTGGAAAGGCAGATTTACAAAACGAGGGAGAGACAGAAAAGTCTTCCATCTGCTGGATCACTCCCCAAGTGGCTGCAGTGGCTGGAGCTGAGGCGATCGGATCTGAAGGCAGGAGCCAGGAGTTTCTTTTGGGTCTCCCATGCGGGTACAGCGTCCCAAGGCTTTGGGCCGTCCTCGGCTGCCCTCCTAGGCCACAAGCAGGGAGCTGAATGGGAAATGGAGCAAACAGGATATGATCTGGTGCCCATATGGGATCCCAGTGCTTGCCAGACAAGGATTTAGCCATTGAGCCATCCTGCTGGGCCCTACTAAATCTTTGACTCTAGGAACTAATTTATTTCTGTAAGCCTCCATCTTCTGTATATTTTCATCTGTACAACCGAGATGGTGCTCCCAGTCTTTGCAGTGCTAAGTGAGGTGATAGCAGTCAAGTGCACAGCCTGTCTTGTAATATAAATTTCATATATGATGTTTAAGCTTACATCCACCCTTTCCCCAGCAAAATAAACAAACACGATCTAAACTTTGATTATAAAAGGGTGAGACTAAATTCACATATTATCTGTTAAAAGCTGCCTCAAAAATTTAGAGTCTGTTCTTCCCAAGGAAAAAGTTCGAAGTTACACACAAACAGAATGTATAGCTATTTAAAACCTGGCTCCAGGCATCCACCTGCCTGTTTCTGGGAAATCAAACCAGATGAGCCCCAGCTGTTGTGAAGGCGCCCTTAGGAATGCAGAAGTCAAGTTAATGGCCTGGAACCAGGGTAATGAACTTGTTAGTGGTAGCTAGCCCGGGCTGAGTTCCTTCCGTTCATTCCAACGGAGTCCAGTACCAGCTAATGGATCCAAATGATTTTGGATCTTTTTATACAGAATTGTCACTAACTGACATTGCACAGTTAACCTCTTATAAAAGCTTCACCCATAGGGCAGTTAGTTGCTGTTTAATAGGACCTGGGACTGGTTCAGAATGTTCTGAACTGTTCTAGCCACCCTTCGGTCTCCTCGCTTTCACCCACTCGGTGTTTCGTCAAAATGGCGCCTGGAGCTCTGCTCAGAGACCTAAGGCTCCACCCACATTCGTAGGGAGCCCCCTTTTCTTGGGGGAGACAGGGAAAGAATCCCTCTTAAGGAAACAGTCTGGATGTAGACCTTGAGAGAGGCAGTGTAACACATTGTATGGGTCTCAGATTTGCAGAGAACATATTTCAGTACAGGTCCTGGCTTCTTACTAGTTTGTGCTAAGTGATCTTGGGTACATTTCCCAGTCTCTTAGAGCCTCAGTTCTTTCATTTGTAACCAGAGAGTAATAGTATTAACTTTTTGGGGGGAATATCAAGAGGATTAAATACATATGTGAAACGTGTCTAGCATATTCTAAGTGGTCAGTAAGTTTCTGCTTTTTAACAAAGCTATTGCTAATAGATGTGAGAACCCACCTTTGGGAACCAAGTCAGATGACTGGTAGCCAGATGCCAGTGCAGTGGGGCTGGGGCTGGGGAAGTGCAGTGGAAGATCCTGCATGTGCAGCTCTCAGCAGGGCCTTGTGTCTGGTACAGGCTGGTGGAAATGACGCTGACCATGTTAGCCATAGTTGGGGATACAAGCCAGCAAGGTGCTCCCCTCAAGCAACCAGTTTGCAATTCATAATATCCCTTTGTTCAAACTCAGGGAAAAGTCCAGGCAAAACAGAGCTTTCTGTCTGATCCTCACCCTAAAGTCTGTTTTCTTCTTTTTTTTTTCCCTCTTAATGCCAGCACATGTTATTTATTTATTTTTGGCTAACGTTAAATTGAGGTTTTGGCTAAAACTCAGCCTGCCCGTCCTTGAAAAGCCACCATGCTCATTGGGCAGCCGATAAAGCTCTCGGGATTTCCCCGAGGGGCTGCGGGGAGTACAGACAGGAAGCCCGGGGCGGGAGCGCCTGACCAGCACTTCCTCCGGGGAGGATGAAGGGCAAGCACGCGCATGTCTCACCCAACTCCTGAGCACCAGGGCCAGGCAGCCGCCCCATCCCAAGGGTGGGCTGCAAGAGGGTCTCTGACTCCAGCCTGTGGGTCCGGGCCCTGTGGACATTAGGCAGGAGCTGCTGGCTTCATCCAGGCAGATGCTGACGCTGCCAGACAGTAACCTTCCATTCCGGCCCGGCCCCTTCCTCTTCGCAGGCTGCCCGAGGAGGGAATTGAGAAGGGACTTTCCAGAGAGCGTTAGCGGGCAGGGTGTGGAAATGGAATAAAAGCATATGCAAATCGGCCTTTGCTTGCTTTCCTCCACCCAGTATACAAGAGTCTTTCTCCAGAAAGATGCTCTTCCTCTAGGACACATGACAACTCTTCTTTGCCTGGGTGGCAACAGCAGGGCTGCACGGAATGGTAAAAACCTGGGCAGGAAGCCAAGGCAGAGGGGTGGGCTGCTCAGGCAGGAGGCAGCTGCCGAGTGAGGAGGGGGAGAAGCGGCTGAGTTGGAACAGATGAAATGAGAAGGAATTTTAGGAGCTCGCTGTGAGTAGGAGCTGGGAAAAAAAATAATCATTGCAAGCTGATTTATTATGTGCTTATCTTCTGTCTGAGAGGCCGCCGGCTTTTGTACAAGGGATTATTGCAAAGTAAATGGCACATTAAAGATATAATCAAGATGTTTAAAACATATTGAATGACAATAGAGTTAAAGTAGGTGAGACTTCTGTCATGGTCTATAAATATGAAAGCATCAGTGGCTCAGAGATACTTCCAGTGTTTTAGTTAAGATGTGACTCCGTGGCCAAAAGAAAAATATTTTCAACCTGTTGTTATTTTCAGGGTCTGGTTGGAGTAGTGGTGGGGGTAGGGAAATGGCTCAGAACCTGCAAGGATGATAAAATGACATGGTTTACACTCTGCAGTTGTGGATGGTGGCCTCTATTCAGCGAGTCGTAAACCTTGTTGCAGGGACAATAGCATGAGAATGCTGCACTGTAGATGTGTGCTTTTGGGAGCCTTGGGGTTGAGAGAGATGCTATGACTTTATATTGAGCATATTCCCAGTCTCATGCTCTTTTAATCTTGCTTTTGAATATTAGCAGATTTTAAAAATGAACAATAGTCTTATTCACATTGTCAAGTTGGATTTACTGTACGTTGATTGAACCCTTGAGGGGCTTAATGATGGCATCACAGTGTGGCCCATCATTGGGGACCTTGATTTCATTTGTGATTTCATTCGTCTGCTGGGGACCTTCTCTGATTTTTTTCTTGGGCCCTTCTGATGGAAGTGCTTTGCTGACGCTGGGTGGGGTGGGAGGGACGGGAGGTCCAAGTTGTTAACAATGGGTTGTTAAACAGAAATGGCTCAGTTTGGTTATTCATTGTTGTTCTTATACCTAACACTCTCTGGAACCCCTGAACAGGTGAGAGAGGAGGAGGTGGAAGCTTTGCCTGGGTTGTCAGCGTGTGGCACGGTGGCTGGGTCTCAGGCAGCTTTGCCCAGCGTTTTATATTCCTGCAGTAGAACTTGAGGCGGGAGCTGTGGTCAGTCATTCCTTGTTTTCTCTGGCTGCAGCAGTGTTGGGTGTGGTCCCTAAAAGTCCATTTTATGTCACTTTCTGACTTTTTTGAATAACAAAGGTGATTCCTCCTTCTGATTGTCCTGCAATCTGGCAAACATCCTCCCCACCCCCTTCCTTTTCTCATCTCTTCAACCTTAATAGAAATGGAAAAAATTTAAAATAGCTTGTGAAATGTTTTATGACTTGTAATTTGATAAGTATTTTCATGTAATTTGTTCATAAATTTGTAAGATTCATAGGGACAATTGAGATGTCATGGAAATGTAGTTTTAAAAAAGATTTATTGGGCCCGGCGCGGTGGCGCAAGTGGTTAAAGGTCCTCGCCTTGCACGCCTGGGATCCCATATGGGCTCCGGTTCTAATCCCGGCTGCCCCGCTTCCCTTCCAGCTCCCTGCCTGTGGCCTGGGAAAGCAGTCAAGGACGGCCCAAAGCTTTGGGACCCTGCACCCGCGTGGGAGACCCGGAGGAGGCTCCTGGCTTCGGATCGGCATAGTATCGGCCCGTTGCGCTCACTTGGGGAGTGAATCATCGGACGGAAGATCTTCCTCTCTGTCTCTCCTCTCTGTATATCCGCCTTTCCAATAAAAATAAATCTTTTAAAAAAAAAAGATTTATTTATTTTTATTGGAAAGTAAGAAATACAGAGAGGAAGATCTTCCATACGATGATTCACTCCCCAAGTGGCCACAATGGCCGGAACTGCATCAATCTGAAGCCAGGAGCCTGGTGCCTCTTCCGGGTCTCCCACGTGGGTGCAGGGTCCCAAGGTTTTGGGCTGTTCTGGACTGCTTTCCCAGGCCACAAGCAGGGAGCTGGATGGGAAGCGGGGAGGCTGGGACATCAACTGGCACCCATATAGGATCCTGGCGTGTGCAAGATGCGGACCTTAGCTGCTAGACTACCGTTTCAGGCCTGGAAATGTATTTTTTTATTTTAAAGATTGATTTATTGGAAAAGCAGAGTGACACAGAAGGAGAGACGCACAGAGAAAGTGGGCTTCCGTCTGCTGCTTCTGTGCCTTCTTCTCCCCCAATGGCTTCAGTGGTCACATCTGGGCTAGGTGGAAACTAGGAGCCTGCCACTCCATCTGTGTTCTCCCTTGTGGGTGGCAGGGCTTCAAGGACTTGGCCATCCTCTGCTGCTTTTCCAGGTTCTCTAGCAGGGAGCCGGTTGGAAATAAAGCAGCCAGAAATCAAAACCAGTGCTGATGTCACGAGGCAGTGGCATAATCTACTATGCCACAGCATTAGCCCCTAAGTATTTGTTGAATCAGTTATACACGTTTTATTGCCAAGAGAACAAATGATCTAGGCAAGATCTCACTACTTAGTAGGTACTCAGTTCACAATCAACTATTCCATGCCTCCTGGTTCCATTGTAGTGTTTTACATATCATCTGTTATCCTTCCTCCAGAAAGGCGTCTTGATTTTCTAAGAAAAGATAATGAGAAAAAGCACTTGGATGAATACACTGTCAAAATGGTGGCAGAGGGCTTTGTCCACATGGCTGTCTAGATCTTCGTCAGGCTTCTCAGTCTGCCAAAAACTGACATCCTTACAGGCATGACTGTTTGATTATATTACTTTTTGGAAATAAGAATGCTAGTTTATGTTGAGAATAGCACATATCTTGGATTTTTAATAGTTTTTGGAAGCTTAATGCATAAGATAATTTTGCCAATCACGGAGGAATCTTGATTTCAGAATTTTGATGTGGAACTAAAAATTTTCTATAGGTTTGTCTCTTTGGATCCTGGGGAGTCACACAGCCACCACCATGTTGGGGTGGGCCTGGGGTGCAGGAAGCAGCGGTTCCCTACTCCACGGTGGCTGTGCCCAGCTGCTGCGGCTGGAGAAAACATCTCCCACGTTAGTTCAGCCATTAGCCGGAGGAGAAAACAGCCCATTGTTCTAGCAAAACCCAGAAATGGGCTCTGGGGTTACACCTGAACATCAGCAATGTTCTGACCACTTGGCAGAGGCTTCCTCTAACCTCTGGAGGGAGAGGAGGGGGAGGAAGGGGAGGAAGGGGAGGAAGGGGAGGAAGGAGGATTTCCCCCTTGAATCTGAAACTAATCAGAGTGGAATGCCAATGGGTGTTCCCCAAAGGTCCTTTCTTTTTGGCTCTGTAACCACAGGTTTGAACCTCTGGTTGCGAGGTTTCTCCCTGAGGAGAGCTGCAACAACAGTTCTCGTGCTTTCTTGGCTGAACTGATAATCCTCCACCCTCTAATACCCCCTCTAAGGTGAATGGCATTGCCACGCAGGGCATCTTCCAAACTTTCCGACTTTCCTTAATGCTTTTTTGTGCTGTGTTGAGAAGGCCCTTCCTTGAGTGAAGGCTTTGAATATTTAGCTTTTTTTTTTAAAAGATTTATTTTTATTATTTTTTTCATTGGAAAGGCGGATATACAGAGAGGAGTGACAGAGAGGAAGATTTTCCGTCTGATGATTCACTCCCCAAGTGAGCGCAACGGCTGATGCCATGCCGATCCGAAGCCAGGAGCCTCCTCCTGGTCTCCCACGCGGGTGCAGGGTCCCAAAGCTTTGGGCCGTCCTTGACTGCTTTCCCAGGCCACAGGCAGGGAGCTGGAAGGGAAGTGGGGCTGCCGGGATAGAACCGGTGCCCATATGGGATCCCGGGCGTGCAAGGTGAGGACTTTAACCACTGCGCCACTGCGCCGGGCCCTGAATATTTAGCTTTATACTTCAAATTCTTTTATAGTGTTGTTATCACATTGTGTATTTGTACTTAACTCATCCATCTGAAGTGCTTTTTCATACATGGTGCAGTATAGATCTAATGTGAATTTTTTTCATCTACAGATAACAGCTTTTCCTTTGTTTTAAAAAAGCTTTTAACTTTAGGATAGCTTTATTCACTTTTACATTTTTTTTTTTAAATCAATTGATTTCTGTTTTATTTGGAAGAGAAATTTGGAGGCAGGAGGAGAGGAGACAGATGGGAAGAGATCTTCCATATGTTGCTTCAGTCCACGCATGGCTACAAACGGCCAAGGCTTAGGTCAGGCTGAAAGCAAGGAGCCCAGAACTCAGTCTGGATCTCCCATGTGGGTGGCAGGAATCCAATGGCTTGAGCCATTATCTGCTGCCCTCCAGGCAGATGCCCTTAGCAGGAAACCGGAGCCAGAAGCAGAGGCAGGGATTTCTGGGCCCATGACCCAGAGTTAAATTAGGGAAAAGCAGTGTAGATACATCAAGAATATTCATGCATCCTTTTCAGCGTTTTAATTAGTTCCTCTGCTTTGAAAGAAGAATTTTACTGGTCCTAAATTCCCGCGCAAATACTGATATCTTTCTAGAACGTCACTTTTGTTCCAGTGATCCATTTGCTATTTCTGCCCCTCTGTCATATGTTTAGCCATAATTACTGAGCGATTCAATTCAGTCTTCAGGGAAGTGAAGTTCTGTCTGCCAGTTGCTGCAGTTACAGAGGTGGCCTGCCAGGAATTAGCGCTGCCACTGGTGCCCATGAAAGGGAATTACTCATTGACAGTTTACCTCTGAAACAGAATCCCCATGCCAATAGTAAGGGCCAAGCTTTGAGTAAGAGTTTCTCTGTCTTAGCATGATAAACATTTTGAGGCTCCTAATTCTTGGCTCTGGGGAGACTATCCTATGCATGTAGGATGTTTAACAAAATCCTGTTCCCCATCAAATGGCCCCTGGTTTGTGACACCCAAATTATGACAATGTGAAAAATGCTCCTATACATTGCATGTCCCCTGGGGGTTCAATTTTCCTATCCTCTAGTTGAGACCCGAAGTCAGGCTGTTCACTACTGCTCCCCTCTTTAACAACTGTGT